GGTCCCGCACCTCAGCCAAATCAAGCGCCCCAATCCAGAAATGCCGCCATAAATCAGTGGCAACATCTGCATTGTTGCATACGGTGATCTCGCTATTGTATTAATAAGAGAAAGAGTTCGGAAGCATAAGTCGGTGGCGCTTGGCAGGGCAGCCATCCTCCAAACTTTGACAGGTTGCAGATACAATGCCCTCTGAGGGCAGGACTGTTTCGCCCTCGACAGGACGGCCTGGACAGGGAACTGATGTGTTAGCCTGAGCGTTACATCCTCCGCTGAAATTTAACGGACCGCTGGAAATATTTAGTCATTTCTCTATTGATTAAAGAGTTTATCTAATCTAGGATTTGGTCACCAAAAATTTACACTAAGCAAACGAAAATCGATTACCGAATCAAGACTTACTTGAAATGATGCTTGATGCTTGATGCTTGTGATGCTTGTTCTTTTGCTCTCAGGCTGTGTTTTAATTCCAATAAAATGTTTTAAGTAAAATCAAAGAATTTTTTATGGAAAAATAAAAAAGGTTTTCTCTAAGGTTTGATTGATAAAATATATTTAAGACGTGTTTTTTGAATTTAATGAAATGATTGATAAATTTGTGAGATTAAAAAATAGGAATCTTTTTTAGAATATCTAGTTTTGTAGGATTATTTTTTTTAAAATGTACCTTTTAAATTATTCAAACAAATTGTTTCTATAATCTGAATTGCTTTTATTTGATTACTAGGTATCTGTCTGCGGCGCATGGACACAATCAGCATACAAATCTTATTATAATTTGATTTTAGAAATTCTTGTAATATAATCATCACATTTTTATTTTCAATAATTGAGACTAAAATATTGTATAAACATAAATTATAAAAATACTAAATATCCATTATTATTATTTTAAATCGATTAATATCAATCGTATATTAGATTATTTAAAATCGTATGTACCTATTAAGTAATATTATAATAAACGACTACCAAATATAATTAGTAATAATAATAAAGAATAATGAAATTGTAGATGAAAAATATAATAAAAAGAAATATCAAAATAAATAATAAGATCCAACACGCAAGTTTTTAAGTATATAAATACTTATACAAAGAAATTAAGAGAACACTACTCCATTAAGTATTGTTATCTATATCTGGTTTAGGAGTGCCTTTTTATCTTTGTTCCGACTTGTGTCTAAAATGTGCTCCATCTCTCCTGAATCCTGGAAGTGTAAGAGACATAAACATATTGTAAGGTTGTTGTATATACTAAATTCTCCAATTATCATTTTCAGATTACTTACTTTCTCTTAAAAATCAGGGCATCATCAGTGTTAGGATCAAGGAGAGGACAGGAAAAACCAATTGCTTCATGTGAATGGATAGTTATTTCATCTACACGCATAAAATGATTAATAGGAAATATACATGCAATATAAAACATATATGGGACAAAATGAAAATAATAATGACATATGCTTGATTATCCATATCTTCTTTTTTATTTACACTCCAATCAGTAAAAACAGAAATCGCAAAATGACCAGTGAATCATTTGGTTCTTTCTTCGATATCAGCGGCACATTCTCTGTATGCCATACATTTCAACTTCACATCCCTTTGATTTAAACAATTTAAGTTACAAACTTTGTTACCAAGACATAGTGATCGTGAGAGAAAATATAACTTACTCGAGATCTGTGATGGTGAAAGTTATTTTCTGAACAATCTCTCCATCAGCGTTATTTTCTGTTTCAATGTTGCTAACATTTTCCATCACACCAATGAGATCTACAAATCAATTATGAGAGAAAATTTTATCATAAATGAACTTCATATATTTTTTTCCTACATATGTACAAATTTATAGATGAAAACACTAAAACGAATATTACAAGTTAATCTTACCAACATAATACAAGTGAGCGTAAGGAACTCTGTATATCTCAGTAAAAGGGACAAATTTCATAAAGGATCCATTGTCAATGGTCGTAGGCTTGAGACTTCTGTCTCAGTAGTGAGAACGATCTGATAATTGTGTCTCGTTATCCTTCCCTCAATCTTCCATTCAAATGATATCAAGCCGAATTTATACAATTCAAACCACGGTCCTTCAGTCCCAACACGGTAAAAATATGGAAAGGCGAGGTTACCACATGAAGCATTAATTCTGCAACCCTATATACAATGAATTTTGAAAAGAGATCAAACAAACAATAAATATAGACAAAACAATTATATATTCATATTAGATAATACTTACATTTTCGTCGACTAAAATGAAATTCATTTTAGTCGACGAAATGAATTTATGATAATACTTACATTTTCCTTCGTATTCTCTACACTTATCTCTTATTTCAGTTGCCAACTCACCGTGTGCAACACACTCAAGCATAAGTTTCCTATATTTTGACAAACAATGTAGTTAAGAATTAGTTAGTTAGACTTCAAACATATAGTTTGAAATATACTTACTCGTCATCTATTATCTTAAATCGAATTGATGATGAAGTCAGACCCCATGTAATCCTCAAAACCATAATCATCATCAGTACCACGGCTAGATAGCACCTCGGTATCATCAGACTCATTATCTTCTGCATAGATAAACATATGAAAAAACAACGTAGTTAGAATTTAAAAATAAATATTAAAAAAGTGAAAAAATGGTGCTCAAAGCAAAAAACGAACCATTGAAACCATTAGATTCTTTATATATAATCCAAGCCTTCCTCGTAAAATCCTAAAGAAAGGTCTTGTGAGCATGATCGCTCGAATTAACATGATCATAACCTAAATGCACAAAACGAACATCAGAACAAACATAAACACATATAAAAAAATTAATATACATCATTTACAAAATTATATTACATGAAGAGCAGAAATACCTCCTTTGATCAAAAACTTCTGATCAAGAATATATATATATAATACGCAGAATCAAGATCTATATAAAAAAGGAATACGTCCGTAGATTAATATATAGTAAAGATACAAAATTGTAAGATTAAGATACAACACTACGAAAGGTATAAAATTGTAAGATTAAGATACAACACTACGAAAGGTATAAAATTGTAAGATTAATATACTGTACTTCGAACCTTCGATTAAAGGATTCTATGTCCGCAAGGTCCCTTCGTCGATAGCAAGATCCATAAGTAACTTGCATGGATAACCTAAAAATAAAAAATAATTACTAATAAGTATTATAACTTGCATGAATAACCTAAAAAGGCAAAACAAATTTTTTTGTGATATTGACGAAAACATATGGAGTTACGTAACGATAATCAGATATCTCTTTTTGATCCATATCCTGGCGATATGAATTCAACATAGATCTTAACTCGCGAGCATAAGCCTGGTTATCAAAACCTATGGACGAAAAAAAATTTAGAATCATTAAAAACGTAGAGAGCATATACATTATTATTAATTTGAGGAGAGCTAGATATATACCCGAAGCAGTAGACAAAACTTTTCAAGTAATCATGACTTTTGATGTATGATCAAAGCTGTACTTAGACGAATACATGATTAGGTTTGCATGCAAATAGACAAGCATGATGAATCTTTTCTAAAGAGATCCAAAAAGTTAATGCTATTATAAAAACCCTAGCAAAATAAACACGGAACTCTAACAGAGGAACTAAACTGTAAATTATGAGACGATTGTTTTAAAACATTCATATTTATACGTGTAAACAACCTAGGGTTTATTTTTTTATGAAAAATACTAAAAGGTAATTTTTGTTCTATATACGATATTATCTTCTCATGAGTTTTATAGTTATTAACTATAAAAAATGTAAAGATTCTATTCTAAATAATAACAAAGGAAATTATGGCATATTTCCGTTTGCAAAATATTTAAAACACTCATATTTATACGTGTAAACAACCTAGGGTTTATTTTTTAATGAAAAATACTAAAAGGTAATTCTTGTTCTATATACGATATTATCTTCCCATGAGTTTTATAGTTATTAACTATAAAAAATGTAAAGATTCTATTCTGGATAATAACAAAGGAAATTATGACATATTTTCGTTTGCAAAATATTTAGTAAATAAAAATTATTTCCAAACATTGAATTGTAACAAAAATATAAAAATTAAAAAAAATCTAACTCCATGACTCGAACCCGTGAGCTTTCGCTGAACGGACAAAGCACCTAACCAACACAGATACCATCTCATTCAGTGTAAATGATATATTGGAAGGTATGTATAATGTTTCTGTATTTCCACGTAGAGTAACCAATCACCAAAATCCTAGAACAAAACATAAAACAAAAAAAGTAAATGAATATAAACGGAGGCAGAAAATATTTATTTATATAGAAAACGATTCCAGGTTTGTGTTTCCTTATTTATTTGTTCATTATTGGTGTGATCAACTATTTCTTTATAATTATCACAAACATGGGCTTGTGCTCCCGATTGGTTAAAAAAATTGATTTAAAAAGAAAGAAATTTAGAAAAAAAAACACAATTAAATTAGTCTAAGATTCGAACTTGCTACCTATGAGATATGAGTTCGGGTCACTAACCATTGTAGTTTGTGTTATTTTTTTGTTAACTAATCAGCAGTTAAATATATATTTTTATTATCGACAAAAAAATAGTATTATGCCATATATATTTTTTGTGACCTCTACTCCATGTTTTGTTGTGTATTAATTATGAAATATTTTTTTTTAATCAGATTTTCTTTTTAATTGCAGAATAATCAACTGACCAATCAGAATAGAGTATTTTCATTAATGACATAAGTGTAATGTAACACATTCCACTAAAACAACAAAAAAAAATAATAATTAATTTATATCAACCAATCAAAATATAACAGACCAATTAGAACATAAAGATTTCATTAATCAACAGCTCAAATCACTTCGGATTTACTTGTAAATTTAAAAATCATTTGAATGGCAGAATAAAACCTATTTACGCAGACGAAGAATAATAGAAATTCTTTGCGAGAGACTTTCACCGTAGGTAATTAACCTTAAAGAAACTGAAAATATCACAAAGATTTAAACGGACTAATCAAGCGTCTTATATAGAGTCTAATTATTTCTCTAATCTAAACAAAAATCCAAAAAATCATGACATAGAGATCTCACTGTCTTCTCCATAGTGATCAGCTCAGCAGTATCGTCCTTGGGTCCATTCTCAATATGATCTTTAAATCTCTTGTGGATTCGCATCAGCTCGTTCATTGTCTCTTCATCTGCAATTAAAGACACAATAGGTTAAACCAAAATGAAGAAAACAAGACAAGTTAATAAATAACAAGTAGAGAACAGACAGTTTAAAATATCACAATCCTAACTAAAACTAAAACAATTAAAAAATCAAAGAGCTTACTAGAATCAGAGGAGTCTTTAGAGGGATCCTCATTCTGGTTCAGGATGGCGTTATGGTCTTGAACTGCCTTTTGTTCCCCCTTTCCTGATTTGGGATGCAGATCTTTCCTTAAAGCTTCCATATGCTTTGCAATCCCCTTGGAAAGCATGGAATGCAATTGCTTGAAGATGGATTGCCATATCTTCTCAAAACTTTGTATTATTTTAAACTCCACGGCATCCCGAAAACCATGCCAAATAGCATCACGAATAGTATCCCCAATAGCATCCGTTGCAGGGGTCACTTAAAGAACAACATGTATAAACCAAGTCAGTAAAGAACAAGAATTAGAAAACAAACAGAAAGTATCACAAAATCAAAAATTAAGAATCTTACATGTTACATTGAGCTGCTCTTCTCCACGGGACTTGAGAACATCTTTCCTTGAAGATTTCATGTGCTCTGTTGCAGGATCCGATGCAGAGGCCAGTATCACATGTCTTGGCGGAATGTTATATCTGAGTAATGTGTATTGCCTCACTGATTCAGCATCGAGACAGAAAAGATCAACATATGGATCATTAAGGGTAACTGTTTGGACGCACGACCAGTTCTCTAGGTTAGGAAGGAGCCAGCCGGTAGCATTATTTGTGATGAAGACCTTAATTTTATGATTCAGAGAATCTCCGGTGAGGATTACGCTGTGTGCTGGTCGGTCTTTAAATTTCACAAAGGAAACAGTCCATACACCGCCCTCATCAGCGAGGAATGAAGAAACTTCTTTTGGCACCCTTTTTGACATATCATCTCTCCATATAGAAATATATCCGTTGACAATGGAAGAAATCATCAGGGCTTTATTGGTACTTAACTCACACATAGTCAAGTCGGTATATAGTCCATCGTGTCTACCCACAATCTGAACAACGTCGCTAGGCACACTGAGGTTGCATTCGAGACGTGTCTCAGCTCCATTTCCCCCAAATTTGGTAATGTCGATTTGCAGGATATAATAATCAACTAAAACCACCAAAATGTCCTGAAAAAAAAAAAAAAAACATATATGGAGGCAATATGTGAAAAGATTTGTGAAAAGAAGGCAGCGGCCTGTGGGTATAAATTAGTCTACATTGAAAGTGTGTAAATGGTCTGATTCTAAGTCCTATTGATTGTTGGAGATGTTTAGAGATGGTCTTAGCGCAAAACTACTGTCTTCTTATTCAAACTCGTGAGATAAGCTTGCTCAATAGTTAGTGTTCTGAAGGTATAAACTCAAACTAAGTTTGTTACCTTATTATTGCAGTGCCAGCAAATACGTCGTTTTCCAGAAAGATTGATTCGATTTTCCGTATGTGGGAGTAGTATACAGAGATTTAGGACTTTCTTAGAGATGATGCCATTAAAACCCGAGCTAGAGCCCCCTTCAGTGATGTCCCATACAATGACCTCTCCATGTGAAGAAGTGCTGTTACCATAGAAAAGTGGTCAAAACAAACTACAAACCAACCAACAGAGTAGACTAGAAACACACAGGGTAGAGAACCAAATCTAGAGGTCTAAAAAGCAATACCTAGCCAACCGGTGAACTTTCTCGGAAAAGAATGCCATGTCCGTAACTCTCTGTGAATGGCCTTTGAGCAAAGAAACCAAACATTGTTTCTATTTCGAATCACAATATCCCCTCCTCCACCTACTCCGTAGCATATGTAGACGTCGTTTAGGGCTATCTGTCGACCTGATATGATCTCTTGGTTCTCGATGTTGGCATTCACAGTACTCTCCAAATGCCGCTCAATGTTGGCAATCACAGTACTCTTGAAAAGCGGCGCTTTTATACTATCCACAGAGCATTCCGCAGAGGTGCGATCCACATCATAACACCTGCTAGGGGATTGTTGTAGGGAGTTGAGGATTTTATAGGGTTTCGGAGGTGGTGACGGTTCCGGAGGCATATAGCTGTGTCGTTCCATCCTTGATTTCCAGGATTCAAGATCGAATTAGGGCTTTTGCGACGGCTATGGTACAAAGAGACGAGACGAGTAAAAAGGTCAAAAAGGTGAAGCTTTTTCGCTTTTCTTTTTTTCTGCTAGTGAAAGAGTTCAAGGAGAAAACCGAAAACCATAGTATATGACCGCTTCTATAACGCCGTCGTTTTCTTCAAAAATTTGAGATTTTAATTAAATCTAAATTTCTAAACCAAAATCTATTATAGTATTATTTGTAAAGTGATTTGAAATGTGGTTCAATGTACATCTTTTGATGTTGTTTTGATTTATGAAATCATTATATTCTGATTGGTCTGCTGATGTTATATTTTGATTGGTTGATGTTAATTAATTATTATTATTATTTCTATCATTTTGATGGAAGGTGTTAAATTACACTTATATCATTAATAAAAATACTCTATTCTGATTGGTCAGTTGATTATTCTGCAATTAAAAATAAAATCTGATTAAAATGAAATATTTCATAATTAATACACAACAAAATAAATGGCATAATATCATTTTTTGTCGACAATAAAAATATATATTTAAATGCTGATTGGTTAACATAAAAATAACACAAACTACAATGGTTATTGACATGAATTCTTATCTCATAGGTAGCAAGTTCGAATCTTAGACTAATTTAATCGTGTTTTTTCCCTAAATTTTTTTCTTTCTAAATCAATATTTTTAACCAATCGTGGATCAGATCTAGAGAAAAGTGAGCCCAAGCCCATATTAATGATAATTATAAAGAAACCTTAAATCGTTTTCTATATAAATAAATATTTTCTGCCTCTGCTCATATTCATATACTATTATTTTTTTACGTTTTGTTCTAGGGTTATTGCGATTGGTTACTCTACGTGGTTTTTTTAGTTTTTTTTGGTGCTATTTCCGATATGTTCCTTTGCTTACAGACTAATTTAACTATGTGTTCTTCTAGATATGGCATTTTGAATCCATCGAAAAGTATGATCACAATTTTGGGCTTCGCAGCATATTGTTAGGTAAGTTTTCGTTTGGTTTGGTGTTATTTGAATATTTAATCGGTATTTTTTTACTATTGTTGTGGTCTTATTGTGTTGTCTATTTGATTATTCGATATGTTTTTTAAGTTGTTCAGTTCTGATATTTATGTTCTATAAATCATTATAGATAAATAATTCCTCACCATCATCTAATTGTTTGTTATAATTTTCAAAAGCATGTTATATCCTCAAAGAAAAAGAGGAAGACGGTGAAGAGAACTCAAAGAAGAGAAGGTAATTCCTTTGTTATACAATCGTTTGGTCTACTTCTATGTTCTTTTTGTTGGATTTTGTTTGTACATCAGATGAAGGTAATATTCATAGGAAAGAATTTGAGGAAGACAGATTGCGTAATATGCACCATCTCAATTCGAAACAAATGGGTATCTCTTTTTTTCATTATCATATTTTCATAGATTTTGTGTTTTGTTATGCCTAGGAAAGATTTGGAGGAAGACGGAGTTGCGTAATCTGCACCATCTCAATTCAAAACATATGGGTATCTCTTTTTCACATTGTTATATTTTCATATATTTCGTGTTTTGTTATGCCTTTTTAGTTGATAATTTATTTATATAATTTTTTCAAATATAAGCTGATCTACTTCAGGTACTAGGAGAGTTTGAAATCGATTTTGATCGAGATCAAGATGGTTAGATATATGCTTTAGGTTTTTGTGTTCAGTTTGATATCTCCTATTGTAATATGAATTTTATTATACTGACACATATACATAAAATAGAAAATGGTCGGTGGCAAAACAACGTGACATATACCGGATATGGCAACAACTATAATCAAGACAGCAGAAGTTGATTCTTTATTTTAATTGTGCTGATTTTGAAGTGGTTTGTTTTGATGATTGACTATTCTTTTTGGCCAGGAGTAAAAACGAAAAACAAGCCAGAAAAACCAAGAGATGGTTTTCGAGATGAAGTTCCACAACGAAGGGCATCAATGTAGTATATGTGTACATTCAATACTAGCTTTAGCTAAATAAATCATAAGCATCATGTAATTATTTCCCTTTTTATTTCAAGAAGAAGAAGATACATAGTATGAGCGTGTCATATCTTTAGGTTCATTGTAGTTGTCTACATTTTTAAAAAATGTTTAATGTATACGGCAAAGAAGAGCAAAAACAAGACAAGAAAGGAGAAGGATACAACTATTAAGGTGAAGGTAATTCTTAAGTCATCTAAGTATTTTTTTCAATTTGTTTATTGTCCTCTGAGTAGTGTTTGTTATTTCGTTTTAAATAAATCATCACTGTTATCTGATTTTTTGTTTAGCTTTCCAATTTTGTGGTCTAATCTACACAATCAAAGAATGAGAACAAGAATAAGAACAAGAAGATGATAAGGAGGAGTACGTATTGTTGTGATCTTGATGATTATATACGAAAGAGAGGTTATGATCTATGTACCAGATTTGCTTTGTTCTTGATTTGCCCACACTTTGATTTGCTATATTTTTGTTATCTATATATGGTTTAGATTTTTATATTATCTTTTGAGCTCTGAGAAACTCTAATAATTAGATTAAAAAGGAGAGTTTTTTTTAAGAGTTTTGGAATTCTTTTGATCAATCGATAGTTTACTCTTTGAACCTCTGTGTTCATCATATCTATGACTTGTTCTATTCGTTTCAGACTCCATTTTTTATACCATTCCTTAGAAACACTTTACAGTTACACAAACCAATATAGATAGAGAAATCTATTTCACTAACCAAATTTAATTATAAGAGAGACAAATATCAGTCATAAGAATTTTAAAGGAGATTATCTCGATCTCTTTCTTTGTATGCCAGAAGATTTATTTGTTTCTCTTTCTTTGTTTATCTATTTAATTTTTCTTTTGTCTTTTTCTTTTGTTCTAACAGAAAATATCTTTAGACATGAGTTATTAGATCATCGAAGGCCATACCAGTTTCAAAACAAACAGCAGCCATAAATATAGGTTTTTCTATAGATTACTGGTTTTCACTTTTTCTGATTTTGAGAGACGTATAGTGTGTGTTTTAAATATAGATGAATAAAATCATTCCAAACATTAATAAAATACAAGTCGGTTTTTAATCCAGTAATCTTTTTTTTTTTGTCGGAATAACACAACTAATGCATACACTATCTGGCTTTGGTTTGGTTTAATTTACTGGGATTTCTTTCATAAAGTTATTGTTAGACTGCTTAGCTGTAGAGAACAAAGAGAAAACTTTAATTACAAGGAACTACCGATAATGACAAAAAAGATACACTTGAAGTGAACTCAAGGTTTGGTCTTTTTGAGTTAATTGATCAAATTGAACATAACCTGTGGACAACGTCTGTGTACTGACCCTTAAGATTGCTTATACAACACAAGAAGATTGAAGATGCTGTAAGATATCAGTTTTTAAGGGTTTTAATACTAATTTCATTGTTGTTTTCATAGACAGGGGGAGGAGGCCGGGGTCTATGCTTTTAAATTCATTGTTTACATTTGAATATCATTTTGTAAAGTTAAAGAATAAAAACAGGAGACAACAAAGGCGAGTGCTGACGATGAAGGAAAATATGAGGGCTTTACTAGATAAGCCAAGAATCAGGTGAAATGTTATATGAGATGCTGATATGTACGTGAATATGGAAATAGCGTCTGCGTTTAAATACATTTTGTAATCTATTATAGTATTTGTGTAAGAAAACAATATATAAACAAAAGGAAAACAAAACGAAATAAGGATATCACGAAAAACAAAAAGAAATAAGGATAAGAAGATGAGAAAGTTGGAAAAAGTGTAAGAAGACAATGTAAACATTCTGTAAAATAAATTAAATAGTTTTTATAATCTTATAAAATTTTAAGTTTACCTTTCTAACTTCTTTTGTAATGATTATGTACCAATTAATTATTTAAAAATTCAATAGATAATTATAATTTCGTATTTCTCACATAAAAAATCACATTAATAATTTTTTCAAAAAAAAAGTATTAATAAATTTACATTAGTGAATAGACATGGTCTTCAGACTTTTATGATATTACTTGGATATGAGTATCTTCGTTTATACATACATGATATTTATTTAAGAGTGTATTTGATGATCTTAGTTGAGGAATGATGCTAAAATTACGAACTAATATCAGCTTCCCTCGAAAAACTAGCTATCATACTGATCCACTAAACTACTAGGAATCATAGCAACAATTATGTTGCCCTTTAACCAAAATATATGATCAAGTTAGATAGTGAATTTAAAAATAAGTAATATAGTTTTCTTTTTTTATACTGACATGTTCATCAGCAAGAAGAAGCTTTCTTGGAGAGACACTAGAACCAATGTCTTCAATGATATCTTTAATAACTTGAATGCATATGCACGATCTTTCAGATGTTAAATCCAGTTCGGAAATTCGTTCACAGGTAACATTTTTCTGTTGATCGGATACGAAAAGACGGTTGTATATTGTGAAATTCTGAGTTCTAAATTTTCTCTATTTTTTGTAAAATTGTATCATTTCACTATTTTATAGATGATAACTTACATATATATCACTAAGACTCCAATTACTTTTAAGAGTACCAATCGTTGTATGAGAATTATTAAGATTTAGATTAGCTTTTAATGGTCATAAAATATTAAATGTATATATAGCTATATCAAATTCATATGTGTGTTTAACGATCAAAATTAATACATAAACAGATCTAAATCATATTCTAAAGAAGTTTCTTTATGGTAATATTATGCATTTTCATGTTATTTTTCTATAGATTCTTTTATTACTTGATTTTGATTTTCTTAAAAAGGTTTTTGATCAACACTTTTTTGTTGGTATTCATTGATTCCAATAAATTGGGTTTATTATTTAATGATGTAGTTCTGATATTATTCTTATTTAAGCCCAATAATTATTTATTTTGTGTATCAACATATTACCTATATTCTAGTATTTCTTCTAATATTTCAAGTCCAAGGTGTGTGGAGATGTTGCAGAGAAGTGGCCAACAATTGAAGACATATTATCTAATCTTATCTACAAATTAAATTTTTAAAAATTCAA